ATCCATTTCACCTTAAAATGAACTTATGTTGTGAATCTGTTTGTGCCATTAAACTGTGTGTATGTTCATTTTAAACTTATATTCATTTTAATAGCAGACAGATTTCCTACTAGAAAAATGTTGTAGTGTTTCCATTTAACAGAATCTGAAAAAGGATTGTACTAATGGATAACTCTGTTATGATTAAACGATGTATCACAAAAATAATTGCATTTAAGCGTGCTTGTGTGTCACTTATTACTGCACACATTATTTAGAATATTGTATTCCCAAGGCCAATAACTGACAATACAAGAAATCACCTCTCAGGTTGTACCACCACTGTAAATCTATTTGCACTTGCTTGTATAGGCAAACATTGGCTTACAACTAATTGAGATTTGTGTGTGTCTGTGGGGAGGGGGGTGTTATTTGAAGGCCAGACTCTTTTGGTCCTGTCACTTACATCCTTGTAAACACTTTGCAGAAACATCTTTTTGTGTGATGTGAGTGTAGACAAAGTGCACTGTTTTTATCTATAATTCTTATAGCACTATTGTTCAACAGACAGTAAGGATCACTCCATCGGAAATACATCCCTCTAAGGTATTATTTGTAAATGCGTTCTTGTTTACTGCCTCCTGCAGATGTCCAAGCTTCACATCTGTTTCTAGGTAAAGACGACAGTTTGATGGCATGAGGGGAAGCCACATACTCTCTGTTCCCTTTGATTTAAACACAATAGCTTTTTGTCCATGTGTTTGTTTTCCAGAGCCTGCTGCCCAGGAAATCTGGAAAAAAAGCTGAAGTATCACACTATCAAATTAGTAGCTTGAAATGATTTCCCCAAAAAAAGAAAAACACCCCCTTTTTACAAAGAGTCCACCAGCTGGTCTGACAATTGTCTAATATTTCCAATCATGCGTATACACCTGGCCAGTAGTATGATTATTGTCATAATAATGCATCACTCTAGTGAGTACGATCAACATGCCAGTTGCCTGGGTGACAATTGTTTTGTGGCTGTCCCAATTGCCTTGCATGGTCCTCTTTGGGCTGAGGGCTATGTTTCATCCAAGCACTCCAAGCGACGAGACCTCTCATGTCACTGTTCTTGGCTCAATGACTGTGTATTTGCACAAAGAGCTTGCACTTTACGGACACTCAGGACCCTGGCAAATAGCAGATTCGTTTTAGCATGGGCTTCTCTTCCATAGGGGTATTATTGCCTGAGAGGTTGTTCCATGCCAAGCAGGGCTGTTAGAAGTGGAGAGGGGCGCGGGTTATTACAGTGAAGTTACAGAGTCTCAGTGTCCATTACAATAATAACTTATCTATAAACAGAAAAAAGCATTGTAGACTATCTGGCCTGTAATTTGGTCGAGTGCAAAGTCCAGGACACTTAGAATATTACCTAGTGTTGTGATTAAACAATTCTGATAAAGAGTATTCACTGGCAAAATTTACCATTTTTATGTGTTTAATTTTGAGTTTCATTAAACCTTTTATTTGAGCACAGCACTTGTGAGGTTTTGTGTCACTGGCACCTTTAATTCTCCCGGAGATTAAAAAATAACAGTGGTTACAAAGCTCTTTTTGAGAGGTGTAAGTGATTATTACTCAAACAGTAAAACTTTTAATTTATTCTTCAGTTGCTGTTGTGTGGCGGGTATTGCTCGATGACTGTTATTTGAATGCAACTATTTGAATGACGTTAAAACCTTGACCAAGTGTGAATGGAACGGAGGGCGTCATGCTGGGGTGAAGATATAAAAGAGTGTAATACAACATGCTGCTGAAGTGTCCTTGAGTCACGCAGTTACGTCTTAACTGCTCTTGGTGAGCTGTTAGCAAGCTGAACATGGACTTTGTGTTCCCCGTAGACGACAGCTTGCCAACAGAGAATATTGGTATGAGATCAGTCAGGAGATTTCTATTCATACAGGACCTGCTAGGTTAAGTAAGCTCACTAAAATAACGTTTATACCATAGACTGTATATACAGATGGACAAAACGTCTCCACTTCCTCCCACTATCCAGAAATGAAGCTGAATTATCTGGCATATGAACACTGCCGTTGGGTATTTGAAGGACAGGAGTGATTGGTGGATAGAGCTGCTGGTTGTTAGGTCCCACCGATATACGCACACTTGACCAATTGTTAATCCATCTCACCCCACTTTTGTAGAATCTACAACTTAATACAAAACCTATCAGAAAAAATAACACTTTGACAAACTGGTTGTGATGAGCAACAACCTCTAAATAACAGAAACCATCTTTGAGAAAAATGTATTTGATGCATGGTTTGACTTTATAGTTTGGTCTATGTCCCATCCACTAACATGGACGAGGTGGTGTTTATGACTCATACTGCAGCTAGTGCCCATGAGGCAATCAGGGCAATTTGGTTTCGTTTTTTAGAAGCTGTCATATCATCTATCTTTGTATACAGTCGATGGTTTGTCAAATGGTATCCCTCCACTAAAAGGACAGGACATTCATGCTCACATATAGGTTAAAATGCACATATAACCTTATGACAGTTTTATCACAAGGCCACAGAGCATGAACTGAGACAACTGAAGCAACAGCCCCCACACTGTTCAGCTTTGAGCATCAAATATGAGCCTTTTGTTGTCCATCCTCAGTTTCAAATTGCAACTTTACCATGCCTTCTGGGTATGACTTTACAATATTTGTCACATGTATTACTAACTAACTAGCATTTAAATAAATGATTAAAACCTCAAAGCCGCTGCAAAAGGGGAATTAAAGGAGAACATCAGCTCAAGATTCAGCTAATTGCACTAATCAAGAGATCACATTCATGCCTTTAATATAATGTGTTGCATCTATATCCCTTCATCTGATCGTGTGGGGCACAATGTTGTGGACTTTGAAAATAGTACTGGAAGAGTACAAATTCTTTCAACTTCACACTAAGGATGAAGCACACATTACACTGCATTAACTTGTCTTGTGATTCTAATTGCACAATGACCTCATTAAGATGGCTACTTGTTACTGTATTGTCACGCCCACAGGGACAAGCTAACTTTTGCTATTTTGAGACATTTAGCCCCAAGTAATTACTGTGATTCTTAAAATTGCAACAGTTTTATTATTATCAACAATGGCGTAACATTACTGGAGATCCTATTATCTAAATGCAGCCATATAAATTGTCCCATGACACAAGCATGAACTGCAATTTTGCATATCTGAGGATTTATAACTGTATTAAGCCTTGGTATATCAATAGGGCTTTACAGTCTAGAGCTCATGAGACAGGTTTTTATAGTCACATGGTAATACTTGACTTTTAATGCTAAGCTCTCCAAATACACACGTATAAACGAGAGGCCAATCAGAAACGTCTGCTATTGGGACTACACACAAATGACGTCTTTCGTTTTGAGAGCAGGACTTATTGACACGTTCAGATTTTTGAATGCTGTCACTATGCATACGCTTGCACTCAAATATACCCTACATGTGGTCCAGTTTAAGCTCTTCTTCTAGCCCTCATGCTGCTTCTGTGCAGGCTGTTTCATTAAGTCTGTCAAAATTCCCCATCGAAAGAATGCCACAAGAACTAATGACGTATGAATCTGTCCCGCCCTCGTTTGGGGAAAAAAAATATCGAGCTGCTTCTATTTTGTTAAATCATTGCAGTTCCATGTTGACCAGTGATCTGCTGGACTTCTGATCTGTGTTAGTGTCGTTCTGCCTTCAAGTACACTGACATGAAGCCGGTGTAAGCCGCAGGAGTGCATGAATCCGGTGAGAGTGACTGGATTCTGTTTGTTAGGGAATTTTTACAGACTAGTTGCACAAAAAATACAAGCACAGAGGAAATATCATGAGGAGAACGGTTGAATCTGGTGGGCGTGAAATCAGTCGAAGCAACAAAATATCAATTCCAGTGGACAGTTGCGAGTGCAGGGTTTTAGTGAGATCACTAAATCTGAATGTGAAATCAATAAGTCCTGTTCTTAAACTGAAAGACCACACTCTTGAATAAAGAAAGGAAAAAGAAACATATAAGGTCAGGTCACTTCATGTTAGTAATTCATCAAATAAATCACAACAGTGTATGTTTCATTTCTCATTAAATTTCACCTTGTGCTGCTCCTCGTGAAACAGGTTAACTGTGCAAAAAACCTCAGTATCATATCACAATGAGTTGGAGCTGTAGTTTGAATTCACACAGCAGACATCCCCATTTCTTCTTTCACCTTGACGGTAGTGAGATTAAACCTTATGAGTAAACAGGGGCCACTAGGATAAATTAAAGTACTTTAACAAGGAACATTTCCTGTCAGCTGGAATTTGGTTAAATTTAGACTTGAAATGCAAAAGCCTACAAGCACATGGCGTTTGTTTTTTATGTAAACAATCAGTTCAGATAGACTAATGGCCCTGAGCTGAGTCTACAGTCTCATGCCCATGTGACTCTTTGATTTGATTCAGAATGCTTTGTTGGAGTCATTTGAGATCCCTAACGCAGCCTGAATCGGATCATGTCCCAGGTTTGCTTCTCCAGGACAACGCCCCGGGAGTCAGCCTCGTTCTACGCAGACGGTTGTTAAAAGAACGACCTGAATAAATGTGAGGAGAAGCGTGGTGAATACAGATGCTTCCATGCAGCGCACAAAATGATGGCATGGCCTCTGCGGTCACCAGGTGTCACGTCTATTGACATATGGGATATTTTGGTCAGACCTATTCGACAGCGCCACCCGCCATCATAATCAAAACAACCAATCTTTTGTTCCTCTCGTCAGGAGAGTCAGTAACTAGTGCTTTTAAAATGCATTTTATCATTGTGCTGGGCTCTAGCATTGTCTTTTTAAAGTGTCCCAGTGTGTGATCAAAGAGCACATCGTGCTGTGGGAGCAGTGACTAATGGCAGAATCTCATTATGAAAGACCCTGATGGCGCAGGTTAGAATTTGCTTTAAGGCTTAACAGAGAAACATTTAGTCACTGATGTTCTTTTGGCTTTGGTCCTGCAGGTTTCGATGACCGGGACACAGACCTGTTCTTGTGCGACACCAACACGTGCAAGTTTGACGGCGAGTGCTTACGAATTGGGAACATGGTGACATGCATCTGTGATTTCAAGGTAAGACTTGTGATTTTTATGTTTCTATTTCATTTTATTTTTCTTTATATTTTTCTTTTTAAGGTGTAATTGATGATTTGCTATTCGACTATTCCCTGAACAGGGATTGTCATAGCATAGCATAGCAACTGTGACTTGGCTCTTTTTATTACTTTTCTCTTCGGAAAACCATATAACGAGGAAAAAAGTGTAAGAAATTACTTAACTGCCTTTATCTGCTCTAATATAACATGAAGTCATTAGCATGTTTTGTTCTTCTTCTTATTTGTTTGGTTTATTGGCGGGTGACAACCAACGTCAAGGTGCATTACCACCACTAAGTGAGTGTTACATCCAAGCACATTTAATTAACTGATTGTATCAACAACAGAGAAGAGGCATGAAAGACAGGAAATCTTAGTTATGCATTTGAGGACTTGGACCGAGAACAAGATCTTTCAACTAAAACATATGTTGCTGTTCAGATATCAAGTGTCAGCACAGTGGGATTCACAGAACTTAAAAGTGCTCTTGAATATGGAAAATAACATAAAGTAAAAAATAGTTAATCACAGCATATAGGAATGAACACATCGAGTTGAAAGGTGAAGACCTGTATAATAAACCTGATCGAAGTCCATTGTCTTGATTGGACAATATTATCCCTCAAGGGAGGTGGATGTGTAGCACTGAGTCAAGTTTACAGCTCCGTGCACTCGACCTCCGGACCGAAACTGATGAGACTGAAAGGCTCTGTAATGGCATAAATCTGTGAAATTATGCTGTTCTTGATTATGACTCACACTTAACTTTTACAGCCAGGCCTGTAATAAAAAAGAAAAGCAGCAAACCAGTCAGCTGAGTATTGATTTCAGTGTAACGTTTGCAAGCTTTGCTGACTAATACGCTATATGCAGAGCCCCGAGATAAACCGGCGAGATCCGAGGAGGTAGCATGTGTTCTCATCTGTCGCTTTTATCAGCGCGTCATCAGCACAAGCAGGCACGATGCGGGCTGACACTCGATTGGTCACCAGCTTTTATCTCAATTTTGTACTTCCCTGGGAGCAAACATTAAAAGAGCCGCATAGATAAATGACATTACTGCTCCATTTCTCTTCAGGAGATCTTACACTGATACCGGTGTGGCTGCGCACCGAGGCATTCTCTGTGTTCTCAGTAAAGAGCAGGTCATACCACAATTCCTGACTTAATACCACAGGTCTGAGGTCAACACTGCTATACATCCTCTGTTTGATGTTAGAGGTTCCAGATGTTTGTGTCTTTATTTCATCAGTCAACATAAACATGACCTTCCCCGCCCAGCGACTGTTGCAGTGCTCTAAATAATCAGTCACTCCCAATCAGTGTCAGATACATAGGTCCAAGATTTTCTCCAGTCGGCCGTCCATCCAGGCCTGTCAGCAGACATGAAAGTTGTATGAGCTCGGGTTGGTTTTCTTTGTTCTAAAATAGTCCATGGTTTTATGTGCACACACACACTGTCACACACTAAAGAAAACCCCAAGGAAGAGACACGCAAGAGGCTCTGTGAAGAGGAAGTGAGTTTGATGTGGTGGAATCAATGGACACTATTCATTGCCAAGATGCATTAGATTCGCCTCACACTGACTCGTGAAAGAGCCAAGACTTTCACTCGCTAACTGGAGTCAAACCGCCGCTAAAGCAACATGTTCCGTCTCTCATACGAGGAAAGTGCGTCGCTTTATTTGTCAACTAGTATCAAGCCCTGACTAATCACATAACATTTCTTTGTAATTCATTTCACAGTAGCTGCTGGGAAAGCTATTGTTGCCGGTTTGGTTTTGTTAATGTCAGGTCACAGTGCTGATTCCCGAAGGGGTAGTCCATTCTAAAAATATGTGCGCTCATGGCGCTGTGAAACACTTAAACGGAAACTGCTCACCAAAGGGTAAATGGCACATTTTATTGCTTTCTGTAATGGTGCTTTGTAATGTATTGTTAATGTTGGGAGTCACTGGTGGAAGTATTTCTCTAAACTACAAACAAACTGTAGATCAGGCTAAGATTTTTCTTGCTTTCTTTTTAAAACTCAACCTTCTGTTTTGAGGTTTGTTTGTGACCATACTTTTATTATCTGTTTTACACTTTTACATTCATTTTAAAGGAAGTTACAACATTATTATATACATTTACAAATAAGTAATAAAGAGAACACTCATGGATATAGGCAAATGCATACAAATGTGCATCATTTCATGTTCACATTTTACCTTCACTGCTAGAACTTCTACATAATTGCAGTTCTTATGCAGGAAACATAAGTCTAATAGAATTCTAACAAAACACACATTTGCCAAGTTCAATGCAAATGCATATCTATGTCACCAGTTGTAAAGTATTTAAGGAAATATGAATCTACAGTCACAGTGTGTTACTGAGCTAACAGTAACTCAATATTACTTCTTCAATGAGCATCTTAGAAAGATTTAAATAGTTAATATCCTACATTATCATAGAATTGCGTGCTTAGTTCTGAAGAAATACAGACTTTAAAATCACAGGCCTTGATATTGCTAGTTAACACTAGCTTCCCCTTTAACAAACAGCTGTGGGCTGCAGTGTGTGTTTTTTGTAGTTTGTCCTGGTGGTTTGGTAATTTGCTGCAGGAATTTCCACAGTGGAGAAACAATGTTATTGAATTGCAAATGCTGCTCAGAGTAGAAATGCAACAGGTCAAGTAGTTCCTTAGGGTAAGAGAGGATAATAATAATAATAATAATAATGATAATAATAATAATAATGAAAATCTTTCTTTATTTTTGTAAGTGAATTAATATGATAGTCTGTCATACATTAGTAGCACTAGATAAAAACAAAATCCAGAAATGCACAATTAGAGTTTGGAGAAAAATGAGCAAAAACACAACAAAAGCATCTGATAAAATGTCTGCGGGCTGATCTTTGAAAGTTCAACTGTGAGAAAAAATAATCTTGGTACACAGTAACTCTTTTTGAAAGGTTCCAGTCACAAAGGGCGGAGGAGCCGCAGAGCACTGTGTGTAGTTGTGTGTTAGACGCAGCTCGTTTGTTTACGAGTTCGACATCACATTGCAGTGCGTGCTGTGAGAGCGCCCGGCATTTAGGGAGATTCCTGCAGAAGATTTTTGCAGATGAATTGGAGGCAGATGTTAACACAGCAGATGTAAGTAATGTGACGGGTCATTTATGCCAGGATTACTTACAGCTCAGTGCAGTCGACTGTAGGCCTGAGCCAGATTTAGTACACATGTCAATAGAAGACGTACAAGAAAGTTCATAATGCCTGAGTTAGGCATGGCTTGTTGTCAGGACGAAGAAATATGATGCTGTTAGAGAGCCTGTGGCCTCATGGTATATCTTCAGGTTTGACAACAGAATGATGCCTTCTTGGTTTTTGTTTTTCAGAATAAACAACCTGTTATAAGTAATTTTGTTTCTCCCATTTCAGGGCCATCACTGGCTCATTATGTCTCATCATTGTCAGATTCCTCCTCTGTCCAGAGTTTATAACAAGCACACTATATGGAAAAACGTATTGGGACCCACCTCTTAATCATCAAATTCAGGTGTTACGTTCAGTCCCATTGTCATTGGTTGGACTTCCAGTGAAGGGAAATCTAAATGCATGAGCAACAATTCTATGCTTGCTATGTTTGGGAAAAGGCTAGAAGGGAGATCCAACATCAGTGTCGACCTCACAAATGCTCTTCTGGATCAATGGGCAAAAATTCCCACAGACACACGCCAAAATCTAGTAGAAAGCCTTCCAGAAGAGTGGAAGCTGTTATAGCTGCGAAGGGGGGACCACCTCTGTATTACTGCCAATGGATTTAGAAGAGGATGTCATAAAAGCTTCTGTCGGTGTCTCAATACCTTTATAGTGTATCTTATCTTTGTGGTTGTTGATGTGGAGCCATGACATATAAATCAATCAATTCAAGTGCCCTTATTTGTTATTTGTATGTGGTCCTTCAGATACTAAAAATGATTACATATAATTCATAGCTGCTCCAGTAAATTCCATTATCCCACTAATCGAGTTCAATGTAATGCAAAAGGCATTAATTGTTCATACCGCAAGTGTCAGGAGTGAGAGTTCACCCACATTTAAAAAGGCACTATGTAAAATGTTCTACCAACACACAATGTGTGAGCATGAGGACATTTTAATGTGGCAATTAACTTTAAAGGTCCAGTGTGTAAGATTTAGGTGAAAGGGAACTATTGGTAGAAATTTAAAGTAGAATAATCCTCATGATGTTTTCACAAGTTCATTTCATCTAAATTGTATGAATTGTAGTTTTCTTTACCCCAGAAAAGACCCTTTATATTCAAATACTTTATATTTACATTGAGGGGTCCTCTCTACGGAGGCTGCCATGTTTTTTACATTAGTCCAGACTGGACAAACTAAACACCTTTAGAATTTATATGACAACTGAAGCTACCACAGTTTCTTTTTCATGTTTGGAAGGAGAGGGTGAGGTGAGGGGCGTTATGCTCCAACATGCAATTTCAACACTAGATATCACAACATTCTACACACTGTACCTTTAAATGAAAAGGCCATAAAATCTGCATAACATAGATAATTTGATGTCTGTCTTTCTTCCAGTTGTTGTGAAAAGAGCTCTTAAAATTTCATGTTATACTGCTTCAAATGGTGCGTTAAAGCATCACAGATGCCAGGATTAAAGTTCTCCGACGCTACAATAGATTTTCTATCAATTGGATTCCAGAGCGGCCGTGTATTAGATTAGTGTAGATCTGAAGGAGGGAAGAAAAAAGAGAGTGGGGAGGGAGGGTGTGACACTGTGAGCCCAGCGGCTGTATAAAACTGTGAGATGCAAAATGCAGGCGATTCCAAAGCTACACAGAGAAGTCAGCAACAGTCGCTATGCAAATAACGTAGGTTGTCTCTCTGCAACAAAGATGGAGATAGTGTGATGTTCTCACTCTGCAAACAAAGTTTAAGATTGGGTGGGTGGTCTGATGAAT